AATACTAATACTTTCATATAGAGATGGATGCCGAAAGTTTTTTGCAATCGTTTAGTAAAAAAAAAAAAAAAAATCAAAAGTAGCAATATCTCGGAATCTACTGGACCGTTTACGATGATTTACCACCATTAGAACGAGAATAATCATCTATACAATTTTATTTAGAAGCTCAAGAAAGGTTTACTTAGTAAAAAATACTTTTATATGTAAGCAAGCCCCATTCTGCATCATATAAATACTATATTAAATTCCGTCGTTTTTTACTATGAAATTTGCTATTTTTTATACCCTTCAGAGCAGAACTACCTCTTAACTTTTTTAATTTTTTTTAAAAGTTACACTAAGTATAAATATACATGAACATTCATGAATGACGTGAACACCGAAAATGATGAACGTCTAAAGATAAGGGAAGTGCCGTTTATTACGTAATTTTGGGTAGGGGGGAGGGGGGTTGGCAGTCTATCACGTCTAAAATATTATATATAAAAATTGACTGGCTGCTAGTTAGATCACTCAGGGGGAGGGGGTCTGGTCTTCTAATAAAAAGAAATTACGTAATAAACGGCACTTCCCTAACGATAAGTAGTTTTAGGAATTTATCATTATAAATTAAAAATCGGGTGATTAATGTAATATAAAATGCTATATACATGCTTTATACATGCCGAAAATGTACAGCACTGACCGTTTTCAAATAACTAATCGCAGTGATGGCAAATGACCTCAAATGACCTCAAATGACCCCAATTTTATTATGAATTTTAGTCTAGGTCATTTGAAAAAAAGGCAAATGACCTCTAATTTTACCATCACTGACTAATCATAATGCTAAGTATTTCGATCACATGTTATCATTGATTCTCAGGTGCTGATAACAAAATTCGAGAATCGGTTTGATCCAACGACAGCATTAGATCAGATGGACTGTTTCAAATTAATGGACGTTGCTATGGACACAACATTTACGTGCTTATTAACACAACGACTGGCATTACTAACCACTAACCCTAATTCTGGCTAGTGCTGTGTTCAGAGTTAAAGAGTGAAGTAATTTTTTGGACAAGAGTTTTTTGAACTTGATTAGTTTACAAAATTGTTAAATTTTGTTTGTAATTAATTTAAGAGTTGGTTTTGTTGATCCTTGGCCATTGTAATATATGTCAAGATATCTAATAATTTCTTTAGGTTTTGAAGATGAATTTGTTTATTGTTAAAAAAAATTTGAAGTGCTAGAGTTAGTTTTGTTTTGTTGGAATTTATATGTAATAGATCTGATTTAGTTGGATTGATTTAGATATTATTAATTTGATAAAGTTTTAAACATCATTTAGGAGGTTTTAGAGGTCTGTTAGGTTTTTGCAATATCAGACTGTATCATTTATGAAAGCAAGGGGAGTGATTGTAAAAGGTTGTAAGTTATAATTGAAGATTTGGTTAATTGGAGATAGTGATTTAATTTGAAGAAAGCTGTTTTGATATTTGTTGTTGATAAAGATTAGAATTAGGTTATAGTAGATTTTCTAAAGAAGTGGTAAGTATGTTTTTTCTATTCTATGTCTAAATAAAGATTAATTGGTTCTGTAAGATTATATATGATAATAATTCTAGCTTTTTGATTTGAATAAAGATTATATATTAGATTTAAGATATTTTGTAGGATACTAATTCATTTATATACATTAATTAGATAGTTTAAGTTAATCTTATCAAAAGCTTTAGACATATTCTAAAATAAGATCCATGCTTCTTGTTTTGTATTTTTGTAGTGTTCTACTGTGTATTATGCAGAATTTGAATAGGTATATGTGTAGAAGAGTTTTTAGTAGCTGTAAAATTTAAATTGCTAAATAGATTAAACTTAAATAGAATTTGGTTAAGACAGTTAATAAATATTTTTGTTAAGCATTTTTTTAGAAGTTTTATAAGAGAAATTAGTTGGATTTAGTTAACAGTATAGTTCTATTTAGATTTTTTGGAAATAAGAAATATATTTAAAGTTTTCTAATCTGTTTGTATAGTTTGAAGTTGAAAATATTTGAATAGAAAAAGATAAAATATATTGAGACTTTTTGAGTTTAAATTTTTTATATGTTCATAGTTTAGTTCAAAAAGATCTGTAGCTTTTTGGTTTGGAAGTTGTTTAATAGTATTTTGTAATTCTTTTAAGAATATATCATCTAGTAAGTTTTGAAAGAATTTTTTATTTTCTAAATTTGGTTTGTATAGATTATAGAATTCTAATTTAGAAGTAATAAAAGATAAGAGAAGTTCCTAAAAATATTATTGAAAATGCTGTTTAAGTATTTTTGTTGAGTTAGAAAGAAGTGAATTTTGTAAATATAATCTGTTAATAGAAATAGTATTACTAGATTTTTTTAGAATTTTTTTATAAAAAATTTTTGAGTTTTAAGAAAAGTTAAGGTTTCTTTCTTTAAATTTATATTTAATTACTAATAAAGTTTAATTATAAAGTTTATTTTTGATAACAATTTTAATATTTTTGATTTCAAGTTTTAGAAGTTGAAAGAGTATAGAGTATTTATTAAATTCTGATAATGAGATATTAAAGAAAATAAGAGTATTTAATGAGTATTTAAATATATATTTTGATATTAAAGAATGAATTAGAAGTATTAAATTTTTTTTTCTATTTAATAAGATATTTGTATTAAGAATAATGAAGAGAATTAAAGAATTATTAGGTTTGAAGTTTTGTATTTGTTTTAAATTTTTTAAAAAAAATATATTTAGTTACTGTTTTGTAGATTATTTTATTTAGTTTGTACTAAATATTGTTTATATCTAAGAGATTATAGGCTTGTAAGATTTGTTTATAAAGTTATAAAATTTTTTGTTCAGTTTTGTACTAGTAGTTTGAAATTTGTTAAGTAATAAATTTGTTTCAAAGAAAGAGTTTTGAATAAAAATAATTTTGTAAGTTTTATTAAAAATAGATTTTTTTTTTAACCTTTTCAGCAAGTCATGCCAATACTTTATTTGCAATAAATTTTGTACTTGACACAAATATTAGAATACATATTTACTCAAAATATATCTAACTACACAATTTTTAAATATTGACTTACTTAGTTACCCTAAAGGTATCTATATGCGATCTGCCATAGTGAGTCTTTTTCCTCATTATAACTATCTAATCCTTTAAAAAAATAACAACAAATCCTTGAGTGGACACCGCAGCCTATCATGATTTTTCGCCTATACAATAGACTACTACCAAACTGATAATAGTTTCTTGTATAGCAAAAAAGTTAAATAAAATTATATATATAACGAAAAACACAAAGGTCAGTGTCATATAATATAGTTAAGTAGAGGAAACCTGCTAACAGGAAAAAACCTCTACACAACAAACAGATAAAGAAAAAAAAACAAACAAAGTAAAGTTCTAACACCAAAATAGGAGACTAGATAAAAATTGTGTATATATAACACCTAAGTTATTCTTTAAATTCTCAAGGGAGTAAAGTACTATCTTACAGAGAGAATATCATTAACACAGATTTCCTATAGTATGTGTTAGGCTTAACACATGTTTGTTGTTTGTGTATGACATGGAAACAACAGGCTGATATCCAATCATGTTTGTTGATGCATGTTGCAGATCTTTTGAAGGGGGTAAGCCAAATCCTCCAAAAAACACCAAATGATTTAGAGAAAAAATCCAAAAGACAAAGTCGTAAAAGGTCACTTCTAAGAGAGTAAGATTTTACTACTTGTTTTCTTATTAAACAGTACAAATATATGTTATATCTAGCTATCCCCATGCTAGCAGACTACTAGTGAGCATCACTTGAAATAACAAAGATATTTAACAATTTTTCTTGCTTCTGCTACTACTTTTTCAATAGTACCCAAGAATTACTTCTAGATAATGTGGCTAAAAAGAGCTTGCAAGGAAGGTATTCATCCACAATACGTCATAGAATACTTAGAAAAAAATATTATTATCTGTATAATAAAAAAGTGTTTTTGCAGGTTAGATTTTCTTTTTGGAAAAAAGTGGTCAGAGGATCGATGAGAATAGTTGATTGAAATATCTCTGATTTTTGCTAAATTTAGATTATTATGTAATATATTATGTATATATTTTAAGTGAATAATATCTGCATATCACTTATCGTTTTATATATGTTATATTACAATTTCTATTGTTTTTTTTTTTTTATTAAAGGTAGCTTACTATGCTGAGCAAATTTTATTAGTTTAATATATGAGGTCGTCTGTTGACAATCCCCTACAGTTTGTAATTACATGAAGAGTATACAATCTACCACATATATAACTTTAGTTATTGTCTAATTTAAGTAGTCTACTATACAAGTAGATCATCTGTTTGGTTCTACACAAGCTGCCATACCTGTAACCTGCTTGTGAGTTACCTATTTAAACACTTTGTTCATCTAACTAATACTGGAATCAACTAATATCACTATAACATCTAACTGCTTAAGCTAGCTAGCTCATTGCAGATCTATTTACCTAACCTAGCTTAGGTTCTCTTAGAATGTGTATTGCTCAACATATTGTAGCACGCAGAGCTCCAGTTAGCCTTGTAAGCAATTCTACTAGAGTGATCTGTGCTTATTTCACAGATTCATCTAGCTTAGACCCTTGCAGATATTTGTACAACTCCAGTTCCTACTGTGGCTCTCCACTAGTTTTCCGTGTTTATCTTCTTGAATGTTTCACAAGACAGATCTTTCCAATTCAGTTAGCTACTAAGCTAAGTTGGTGTTAATGATCCTCTCTGTAGAATGGATTTATGTGTATCTGACTCGATCAGCATCTTTTGATAATAGTTTCTTTTCTGGATTAAGTGTTAGCTAGTATGACTATCGAAAGCTATACTACTTCACTAACTTAGAATTTCTACTATGCAGGTCCTCTGCTCATAGATTCTATCAAGATTTATTCATATAACGTTATGCTCTCCGAACATTTTGTCACACTTCTAATATCCAAATAATATTAGTGCAATTTGATTTACAGGGTTACAACTCCAGAAATGAACAGGGTTTATCATAAGTTGGGTACAAAGGTCTTAGTAATTATTCAAATTTATCGACAGTAGGATTTGAATCTCATACCTCTTGCATGGCAGTCTGACAACCTAACCACTACACTAAAATCGCCAAATCTTACAATTTCTATTATTATAATATGATTATTATAAATTTATTTATAAAAAAAAATATATCTGGTTCCTTGCATAATTTTTGCACAATTTGAAATCATATCACATAAAGTGCAAATTGAATTTGTTTTTTTTTTTTTTTTTATTTTTAAGGTGGCTTACATTGCCGGGCGATTTTTATTAGTTTTGATGTACGAGATTACA